AAAACAGAAAACCGTCAACATGATGGCATTTCGGAAGAGTGATGAATAATTTACCACACCTAAAACAGTATCGAGAAGGTTTCACTCCCATCAAGGTAAAATCACAGAGTTTTGCATTTCCTCACAGCATATAAGAGCGATACTATCATATTTTAGGCATAATTCACACTAATGCTAACCTAGTTGATACTAATCCTTCTTGCGCATAACCTTTAGTAGGCTCTAATTTTTTTAACCACATCTATAAAGATCAAATTATCCCGTCAAAGATAAATGGTACTAGAAGTTGTTTGACCTTGTTTTCGCAACTCCGTCATATTGGTAAGAAGACTTAGAGGAACGCACCTCGTCCGGAGTCCATTGCATGCTTTATCATTTCCAAAGTTGAACCGTGGACGTGGTACATTCCCAGACGTTTCGCCGGCATCGTCAGTGAGTCTTGCCATTCATAGCACCACACAAAAACTCATCAAAGCGACAAGTGAAGCTGATCCTTTGACCAAACCTGTGCTAAACAGTTGTGGTATCGCCCCTTATGTCATAGTCTATTCACATTTCCTATATCCTCCTATCACACGTTCACTGTTACAATGTTTACCGTGCTTATTTCGATGAAAACTCTCCACACTCCACACTGGCGTTCTCACCCCCCTTCACCCTTGTACTGGGAATGTTGACCAGAGTCTGCCATATTGTTGCGCAGTCCTCCTTCTCTAGGTCTTATCACAGTCTCTCTCTTGCCTCGTAAGATCCGTCTGCTTTCCCCCTGGTTCACGAATTTCCTTCGACCCCTGCCGCCCTATCTGAGCTACTCGAAGCCACACCATCTTGGTCTTCATAGCTTCGATAAATGATACTTTTTGTCAAGATATCAAATACTTCAAATAAGAAGAAAATACTAAAAACACACCACTATTTCATAGTGAGGTCGTGTGCGTTCACGAAGAAGTACACACATTTATATAAACAATTAGATTCCAGCAACGACGATAAGAATTTATCATTAACCCTGTATTCAGCTGATTCAGCACTCCGAACAATTGATATTCAGATTATTCTATAACATTCTTACTTTACTGGACTTCGAAATGGGGAAATGCCTTTCTCTAGTTGACAGCAGTCGATATTGCTTTTGTTTTTCTCGTTGTTCGCCATGGCGGCACAAATAATATGTTATTATGTATGCCACTTTTCATTGACTATCACCTCTAGTCATTTGGAAACCATCTAAAAGACAGATCATTTGCGTTTCTGGAAACACATTT